TGACTTAGAGTCATCCGGATCAGTGTCAAAGCTAGCTCGATGTAACCACTTACGACAAGCTCTTTGTCACCTCCATAAACGAGAAACATATCCCTAGTCCTTTTCAGGTACTTTAGGATGTTCTTGACCATTGTCCAGTGATCCATTCATGGATTACTTTGGTACCTCCCTGCTAAACTTATAGCAAGGGACACATCAGGTCTGGTACACAGCATAGCATACATGATAGAACCTATGGCTGAAGCATAGGGATTGACTTTCATGTTCTCTCTATCTTCTGCAGTGGTCGGGCATTGAGTCTGACTCAACTTCACACCTTGTAACACAAGCAAGAACCCTTTCTTTGATTGATCCATTTTAAACTTCTTCAAAACTTTATCAAGGTATGTGCTTTGTGAAAGTCCTATCAAGCGTCTTGATCTATCTCTATAGATCTTGATGCCCAATATATAAGCAGCTTCACCGACGTCTTTCATTGAAAAACTCTTATTCAAGTATCCTTTTGTGCTATTCAGAAATTCTACATCATTTCCAATCAACAATATGTCATGCTCAACGCTGGCACAAAAAAACAATTATTCAGGTCTAAAACTAATCCCGAAGGTAGATGTAGAGGTAGCGTGCCGACGGCGATCACATCGACCTTGGAACCATTTCCGACGCGCATCGCTACCTCATCCGTAGCTAATTTTTGTTTAATCCGTAGTCCCTACTTTGAGTTACAAATATGAGCAACCGAACCGGTAACAAATACCCAGACAGCAGACTAAGGCACAGCCTAGTGGTGGGAAGGGGCTGATGCCTTCCCACCCACCCAGGTTCAAGGCACGCTACTTGCAATTTGGGTTTGTTGCACCAATTATACTATAGGGGTTCCCTTACAGCCTTTCTATCAAAACAAATACCCAGACACTACCATGAGAATTAGTAAGGTACACATCAATAACATGTATATCAAATATACCTTTGATCACTTTGCCATCCTTCTCATCCGCCAAATACTTGGGGTAGTTCCGCTTCTAGTGACCAGTCCCTTTGCAGTAGATGCACTCTGTTTCAGGCTTGGGTCCATTTTTAGGTTTCTTCTCGGGAGTGACTACTTGCTTGTCATTCTTCTTGAAGTGCCCCTTCTTTTTACCCATGCCCTTTTTCTTGAAACTAGTGGTCTTCTTAACCATCAACACTTGATGCTCCTTCTTGATTTCTACCTCCGCGGCCTTTAGCATCGCGAAGAGCTCAGGAATAGTCTTTTCCATCCCTTGCATATTGTAGTTCATCACGAAGCCTTTATAGCTTGGTGGCAGTGACACAATCATCTGGAAGATTAATGATGACCCACAAGTATATGGGGTCAATTGTAGCCTTTTCGATAAGTAAGAGTGTCGAACCCAACGAGGAGCAGAAGGAAATGACAAGTGGTTTTCAGCAAGGTAATGTGTGCAAGTGCTAAAATTGTAAGTGGTGGAGTAGTTTGATAGCAACATAATTTGTAACGAGCAAGTAACAATAGTAGTAACAGAAGTGCAGCAAGGTAGCCCAATCCTTTTGAGGCAAAGGACAGGCCAAAACAGTTTCTTATGATAAGCAAAGTGTTCTTGAGGGTACACGGGAATTTCATCTACTCACTTTGATCATGTTGGCTTAAGTCGTGTTCGGTACTTTGATAATTTGATATGTGGGAGGACCGGTGCTTAGGTGCTATTCTTATTTGAACAAACCTCCTACTTATGATTAACCCTCTCGCAAGCATCCGCAACTATGAGAAAAGTATTAAGAATAAATTCTAACCATAAAATTAAACTTTTGGATCCAATCGTTCCCTTACGGAATAGCGCATAAACTGGGGTTTAAGCAGGTCTGGGCCCATAGTGGAGCCAAAGGTGCGGCCCGAATAGGGCCCAAAATTCTGGGGGGCCATATTTTTTATATAGGTGTAGTAACAGTTAAGTGCAAACTGGGCTGAGTGGCGAGCGACTAGGCCCATCGAGCGAGCAAGGCCATCAAGCGAGCGAGGCCATTGAGCGGATGGAGCGCTGGGACTCCTCCCATCACTACGAGAGGGTCAGGCGATGAGGCAGCACTTAGAAAAAAAAGGTGACGAGGGGATCGCTAATTCACTAATCGCTACGTTATCTAAAAAATACTAGATCGCTACCATAAGAAAAACACTAGATTGCTATGGATCGGATCGCTGGAGTCCTTGACGGCTGGACGCCTGGAGCCCTTGACATCGTCACATCGACGCCTCGTCCCTCGGTAGCTCTCGCTCGGTCCGTAGTCCTTACTCCTTAGACTGATCCGATTTCAGATTTAGTCCGACAGGCCACTGCTGCGGTGCCGCCGTTGACTTCCTTGACTCCTTTCTCAATTTCAGACTCGCCGACGTCATCGCATCGGATTAATCGGTGACCGATGCTAGCCTTCATGTGCTTAGTGAGTCATTCTTTTTGGTTAACTTTGGTTCCTACTCCTAAATCCTAATTCTTAATTTTTTAATTAATTATTGACAGGGATCGTTACTTCATTAGAGATTGGTTCTTACTTCTTACCTCCTCGGTTAAAGATCACAGGACCGAAAATTAGGTGAGTTAGACGGTTCGTCTGATTCCCAAGCATAGATGCATGATCTCCAATCGATATATGCTACGTATAAATTTAGTTTTATTTTATTCATCTTCTTTATCTTGTGTTTCAATAATAAAGATTTGAGTCATCATGGGGAAACATCAATCGGGTGCCTATAAGCGCAAGAAAAAAGCAGAAGAAGAAAATTTAATTAATAAATGTTATAAAGGTGGTATGGGCAGATTTGTTAAAAAAAAGCACCGCAAGTGTCATCTGGTAATCCGTCTATTGATCCTTCTACCCTTGCACTTGCAATTGTTCCTTACAATGATTCTAGAGATAGTCAGACAGAGACACATAATATGGACGTATAGGAAGATAATATTGATGTTAACTTGAATAGTTCACCTTGTGAGGATGTTGATGATTCTTTTCGGTCTGATATATTTGATCCAAGAAACTGGGATTCTCTTAATTCTAAATAGATTGATATCTTAGCACAGAAGGGTCCAAAAATAGACAAGTTAGTTAAAGGTCCCAAATATAGATACCGTAAAAGGTTTACTTCAGCATTCTATACTAGAATCCTATCAAATGGAGAGTATTGTGATAGAGACTGGCTTGTTTATTCTGAACAACTTGATAGAGCCTTTTGCTTTGGTTGTAAATTATTTACAAAAGGTCATCGGAAAGGTCAGTTGGCAAATGAGGGCCGTAATGATTGGTCACATATGACCAATAGACTAAAAGATCATGAGACAAGTGTGGATCATGTTTCGAGTATGACTAATTGGTATGAGTTGCATTGTAGATTGGAAAAACATCACACTATTGATAAAGCTACTCAATGACAACTTGAGAAAGAGAAGGACCATTGGAGAAAGGTATTATTCAGAATTGTTTGCATTGTAAAATTTCTTGCAAAGCATAATCTAGCATTCTGTGGTACTAATGGCAAGCTATATGAAGATAGCAATGGTAATTTCTTGGGTTTGGCAGAGATGTTGGCTGAATTTAACCCAGTTATTCAGGAGCATGTTCGTCGCATTACAAAGAAGAAACACATGCTCATTATCTTGATCATAAGATTTAGAATGAATTGCTACACTTGCTTGCTTCTTCTGTTAGGTCTAAAATTATAAAGAAAATAAAGAGCTCAAAGTATTTCTCTGTCATACTTGATTGTACCCCTGATGCAAGTCACCAAGAGCAAATGTCTTTAATTATAAGATATGTGGATTCATCTTCAAGACAAGTTTGCATAGAAGAGTCCTTTCTAGGATTTCTAGATGTAAATGATACAACTAGCCAAGGACTTCTCGATGTGCTAGAGAAGGAGCTAAAACTTCTTGATCTTGATATAAATGATGTGCGAGGACAAGGTTATGATAATGGATCAAATATGAAAGGAACGCATCATGGGGTACAAAGGAAACTTTTTGATGTAAATCCTAGAGTTTTTTATTCAGCTTGTGGTTGTCATAGCCTTAATTTAACACTTTGTGATATGGCCAAGACTTGTGGTAGAGCAAAGGACTTTTTTGGAATCATCCAACGCATATATACATTTTTTCCAATTCTACTAAGAAATGGCATATTTTGAAAGAAAATGTATCAGGATTGACTCTCAAGTCTGTGTCAGCTACACGTTGGGAGAGTCGTGTTGAAAGTGTTAAAGCTCGGATTTCAATGTTCAGACATTCGGGAGGCTCTACTTCAGGTAACCAATATGTTCATATTAATAGTGATGTAATTCCTTTAGGCTTTGACTACATCCAATTATAACATTTATGAGCTTTCTTTTAATTTCAGGTATCTGAAACTGATAGTGATCCAAAGGCAAGCAGTGAGGCTCTAGGTTTGGCAAATAATGAACTTGGAGAGTATGAATTTATCATGGCAATAGTCATTTGGTATGAGGTATTGTTTGCTGTTAATTTAGTAAGAAAAAACTTGCAAACAAAGGATATGCTTATTGATGTTGCTATTGAGAAAGTGAAAGGGCTTATTGCTTTCTTCGAGGGGTACAGGGAAACTAGTTTCTTAGAAGCATTGGAGATAGCTAAAGAAATTGCACTTGAGAAGGACATTGGTGCAACATTTCGTAAAAGCAGAGAAATTAAAAGAAAGAAACAGGATGATGAGAACCCAGACGACACAAATATTGCCACACAGTCTGCAGAGGAATCATTTAGAATCAACTATTTTACACTTGTTGTCGATCAAGCAATTTCCTCACTCACAAGGAGATTTGAGCAATATCAAGGTTAGCAGAAAATTTTTGGTTTCTTATTTACCTCTGAAACATTGCGTTCATTGGATAAGGATAGTTTGAAATCTTCTTATGTTAATCTTGAGGCTGCCCTTATGAAGGATAAACAATCTGATATTGATGCCAATGATCTGTTTGTTGAGTTGAAGTTCCTTCAAATTTCATGCCAAAAGAAAATATCGGACCTGTTGAAATTCTGAATTTTTTAAAGTGGCATGACTATTTTCCCAATGCAAGTATTGCATATAGAGCTCTGTTGACCATTCCTATGACAGCTGCATCGGCGGAAAGAAGTTTTTCTAAGTTGAAGCTATTGAAGTCCTATATGCGTACTACTATGACACAACAAAGACTCAATGATTTGGACACAATAGCACTTGAGAGTGAAGTGTTGGAGAAGATTGATTACGAGGATATCATTGAAGATTTCATTTCAAAGAATACTAAAAGAATGAAGTTTTTCAAATAAATAGCAGCCAGGAGTTGAACAGGTATGATTTTTATATGTCCAATTGTTATGTAAGACATATATATATTATGAAAAAATCCTGCTTGATATATATTAATATATACATTATAATTGCTTGTTAGGTCATTTTTTAGTGAGATAGGGCTCCATTTTTTAGTTTGGCACAGGGCCCCGGATTTTGTCCGCCCGGCCCTGGGTTTAAGCTTCTATCACTCTCGCAGCCCACCATCTAATAACTACTCCACGTTGCATTCCCTTAGGCCCAAATATGGTGAAGTGTCATGTAGTCGACGTTCACATGACACCACTAAGAGAATGACAACATAAATATCATCAAAATATCGAACACATATGAAGTTCACATGATTACTTGCAACATGATTTCTCCCGTGACCTCAAGAACGAAAGTAACTACTCACAAATGATAATCATGGTCAAGACCAGAGGGGTATTAAATAGCACAATGGATCTGAACATATAATCTTCCACCAAATAAACCATATAGTAATCAACTACAAGAAGTAATCAACACTACTAGTCACCCACAAGCACCGATCTATAGTTTTGGTACAAAGATTGAACACAAGAGATGAACTAGGGTTTGAGAGGAGTTGGTGCTGTTGAAGATGTTGATGAAGATAGCCCTCCCCAAGATGGGAGAGTTGTTGGTAATGATGATGATGAATTCCCCCTCCATGAGGGAAGTTCCCCTGGCGAAATCGCTCCGCCGGAGGGCAAAAGTGCTCCTGCCCAAGTTCCGCCTCAAGGCGGCAGTGCTTCGTCCCGAAAGTCCTCCTATGTTTTTTTCTAGGTCAAAATGACTTATATACCAAAAGATGGGCTACGGAGGTGGGCCGAGGAGGGCAGCACCCACCAGGGCGCGCCTGGGCCTCCTGGCGGGCCCAGGTGGGTTGTGCCCACTTGGTGGCCCATCTCTAGTACTTATTTGATCCAATAATTCTTAAATATTCCATAAAAAATCCTCAGGAAGTTTTAGCTCATTTGGAGTTGTGCAGAATAGGTAGCTTGATGTAGCTTTTTCAGGTCCAGATTTCCAGCTGTCAGAATTCTCCCCCTTGGTGCATACCTTGCAGATTATGAGAGAAAAGGCATTAGAATTACTCCAAAAAGCATTATTATACAATAAAACAACATAAATAACAGTAGGAAAACATGATGCAAAATGGACGTATCAACTCCCCCAAGCTTAGACCTCGCTTGTCTTCAAGCGAAAACCGAAATCGAAAAACATGTCCACATGCCTAGAGAGAGAGGTGTCGATAAAAACAAAAATACGGACATAACAACATCCTGTGACTTATTATAACAGTAACAAACTTTAACATAAAACTTTTATCATAGACTTCTCATGAACAAGTGACAAGTCATCACAACATCGAAGTATAAAGCATAAACTCTATTGGAAACCAACAAACTGTGTTCTCAGTCAACTTTGCAACTACAATTCATCATCTTTTCAGGAAGGGTTGCATATAGGAGCCTTTAGGCAAGTCCACATACTCAACCATCATTTAGTCTTCTATGATTGCTAACACTCACCGCGTACACATGAGCAAAACGTTTCAATCGGACACATAGAAAGATAGAGGCTTATAGTTTCGCCTCCCAACACATTCACCTCAAGGGTGATGTCAACAATAATAACTCATGCTACCCATATTCAACTGGATATATGTTCCTAGATCTTTCCTCACCACATGATGATTGCCAAAGGAGAAAAATGAAAGGAATAGAGAGAAAAACCTTGACTCTTGCATAAAAGCAAATACATGAAACTAAAAGATAGGCCCTTCGCAGAGGGAAGTAGAGGTTGCCATGCGCTTTTTGTTTGTATGCTCAACCCCTTAGTGCAAGAGAATGTCACATTATATTGCCCCTTGTGATGGCAACCTTTATTATCCAGTCTATCGCTTTTATTCTTCACCATCACAAGTTCGTACAACGCACAATTTTCCCTTACACTAAATGATCTCACATTTTAAGAAGCAATTTTATAGCCCTTTTTGCACCGATCACAGCTTACTTGAAGGATCTTACTCAATCCATAGGTAGGTATGGTGGACTCTCGAACAAGATAGGTTTTAAGGGTTTTGGATGCACAAGTAGTATCTCTACTTAGTGCGGAGTTTTTGGCTAGCAAAGATAGGGGAAAGTACCACATGTTGAAGGATCTAAGACAGTATAACTTCTATGTGAATATGAACAAACATAAATCATTAAGTTGTCTTCCTTGTCCAATGTCAACAATTTTGGCATATAATATTTTGATGGGTCCTCACAATCATAAAAGATTTCCATGATAGTATATTTATATGTGAATCTTATCTTCCCTTATTAATTCTTTCATGAGTTGCATCATTGACCAATGCTATGTTTGTCAATCTACAATAAAATTTTCTACTTATACTTTTCCTTGTGTAATGTCATCACTTACCATAAGATTAGCATATGATCCTTTTCTTTTATTTCCTTTCTTTTTATTAAAACAAGAAAGTAAAGAAGGAAAAACTCAAACTAAACTTTATTATATATCTTGCACACGATTACAAGGATTGATCACTAAGCAAACTCACAAAAAGAAAGGATCGAACTAAACTTTTATTCATCTAATAGCAAAATATAACCATGGATCGAACTAAGAAAGTAACGGCAAAAGATAGTGGAGATGATACGATACCGGGGCACCTCCCCCAAGCTTGGCCAAAGCCAAGGGGAGTGCCCATACCCGATACTCAGTTTTCTTTTGGTGGTGAAGAAGGAGGTGGTGGTGATGAAGTAAAAGCGATCCAGTCTTTAAGGACCAAGAGACTCTCCAATCTTCGGATGATGCTCCGCGGGGAAGCGATGTGCTCCATATGCAAAATATTTTCACGAGTGAGATACTTATTTTGTATACAAATCGTTTCAATGATCCTGAAGGCTGCAATCTAAGTGGAGGTAAGATGAGCATAGTAGGGTTTAAGGATATTTTCCTCTTCCTCATCGGCGGGCAAGGCTTGCTCATCCATTGGCACTTGCTCTTTGGTGGCCTCCTTGCTCTTGTCCTCCTTAGCTGCTCCAATGGTGTCTTCTCTCTTCAGCTCGATCTTCATCAACCAAGCATCCTCTTCCATATGATCAGAGGGAGAAGAAGACATGATGCCTGGCTCAACAGATCTGATAGAAAACAACAAGAAAAGAAAACATGAGATTTCTCTATGATACGAAGGTCAACAGGTTCGGGAGGTATATATATATATATATATATATATATATATATATATATATATATGTATATATATTATCTTGGGGAGCAAGCAGAATGGAAGAAAAAGGAGTCCAGAAAGTACCCGAGGTGGGCACAACGCCTGGCGCGCCCTGGTGTATCGTGCCCACAATGGTCACTTTCCTGGCAGTTGCTTATTTTCCTAATTTTCTAAATATTCCAAAATTGACAAAAAAAAATTTTGCGAAATTTCAGAGTCTGTTTACTTACCGTATCACGTATCTCCCTTTTTTCATGATTGTGGAGTATTCAGGAAGGTTTCCTTTATGTATTCTTCTGGTGTCAAAGTTTGGATAACATTGCTTTCAACATTAATGGGCGTACCTGAGATATAGTGTTTTATTCGTTGCCCATTGACAACCTTCGGGTTAGTCCCTTCGGCATTATTTATTTTGATAGCTCTCGATCTATAGACCTCCTCGATGACATAGGGTCCTTCCCATTTGGAGAGGAGTTTTCCTGCAAAGAATCTGAAATGAGAGTTGTACAAAAGAACATATTCTCCATCCTTGAACTCATGCTTTTGGATTCTTTTGTCATGCCATCACTACAAAAAAATACACTTCTGTGATGATACGTGTTTGTCACAGTAGGTCGCGTTTTTTGTCATGCATGTACATCCATGACGATTTTATGACAGAATCAAGATAGTCATACCTGTGGTGTCATAGAAGTGTTCCATGACATTACCAAAATTAACATCACGAAAGTGTCCACTTCCATGACGATAAATCGCGCGTCACAGAAGTGCTTTCGTCAAGGGTGACCGACACGTGGCATCCATCGTAACAGAACATCGTTAAGCTAACGGGTCGGGTTTTGGATCCGATAACCCGTTAACAGCCCCGACCAATGGGGATTTTCCACGTGTAAAATCATCATTGGCTGGAGGAAACACGTGTCGGCTCATCGTTGGGACAGATGTCATCCACTCATTGGACAGAAGGCGCCTATGATACGTCAACATGTGGCACGGCCCAACAGAGGCCCATTCCTGTGAAAAGGCCGGCCCGTTTGACTTGGTCAAAAGGTGGCGGGCCGGCCCATGGAAAGCCTGTTAATGGCATGTTCGCATATAGCCCATTTACAGCCCGCTAACCAAAGGCCTGTTATGCCCTATCCGAATTAGGCCCAGTAGCGTCATCTGGGCCATCCAATATGATTCCAGCCCGTTTTCACTTCCGGCCCATGTATGACCCATGACGTCTTTCGGCCCATATGAGGCCCTTTGTAACTCTTGGCCCATTAACGGCCTGTCGTAAAACTGGCCCGTAATGAACAGTGTATCACTTTACACCCATTAACGGCCCGTGCTGAAACTGGCCCGTAATGAACATTGTATCACTTTATACCCATTAACGGCCCGTTATTCCGTTGGGCCGTTTCCAGCCCATGTTATCTTTCGGCCTTCTCAGAGCCAATTTATTCTTGGGCTCATTTCCAACATTCGTTTACTTATGGCCCGTTACTGTCATTTTCTACTTGTGGGCCAAATTCAGCCCGTGGTTACAGTCGGCCCGTTTGTGGTCCGTTAATACGTTGGGCCGTTTTCATAGTGTCATCAAATACGGCCTATTAACAATGGCCCGTTACAGTCAGCCCATGAAAGGACGATTCCAACTCTAGCCTATTTACGGCCATAATGTGATCTCTTTGGCCCATGTTTGGCCAATCGATCATACGGCCCGTATAAGGCCCATTGATGATACGGCCC